GTGCATTGTATTTTTTTACGATCTCCTGACGATCTCTCCCGGGCCATTTTTCACCCACCAATCGACCCCTGAAAATCGCGACTCCATCCGTATCGGACTGGTCAGCATTATTTCCGCGTCGGGTCACAATGGACCACTTTTCTCCCGATATCGTTCCGGCATGTCCGATTTCGCCTCTCGCCTGCGGTTTTTTTCCCGTCTGTTACCCATCCCGCCCCCTCTTTCTCTCTCTTTCTCTCTCTCTCTCTCTGTTTCTTTTCCCTGTCTCCGACCGCTACCTGACGATAGACAGGATGTATCGCTCCGAGTACCCCGGGTGCGAATCGCATGCCGTGACGCGCGTGTTGTCCCTTGGAGACAATGGGCCCACGGGAGCACTCGTGCGCCCCGATATTCTCGTAACTTTCGAGCGGAAATGCCTCGCCGACACAATTAACAGACGGGAACATTGGTATTCAATCGTTCTACAGGAGAACATGGGTACTGTTTCAAAAAAAATTCGGCACCACGAGAAATACAGGGGTATACGTTGTATATGACGTTTGTTAAATATATTAATGATAACTCGCTCAGCGAGAGAGAAAATTTTGCTTTAGCTCCGACTTAAAAGGACCTATTTTAATTGGCAAAAGTAGAAATTTCCGACAATATCAGTTTTTAAGTAGGGGTAAATTTTGTACTTGCAGTTCGATCTCTTTTACTGTCTAAGGTCCTACTGTATGATAGAATTAAAGATTCAACATAGGGCAAAAATTTCGACTCGGGAATTCTCCAAAATACCATGTTGCCCCACGATTACATGATTTTCAGGATAAATTTCAAGAAAAAAATTCTCTCCCCGCGTAGAAGTCGCAACGCACGACTTTACACCCGCTCGTCTCTCTCCGAGATCTGGCGCGCTTTCTCGTGAAAGATGCAATTCCAGATATATCCGCGGCTCGAGCAGTAATACCGCGATCGTGCGACGTCGCGCGATTGAAATATTCAGGGGCAATGCATTAGCGTTTCCGGAGCCGTGAAAAGCTATGGCGCTAGGCCGCGAGAGACCCCGCGTAGCTTCCGAGGGCTCCTCCGCGTAATTTCCCGGGGACGACGACGACGACGATGCGGAAAGTAATGGGGCGCGCGGACCGATAAATTTCGCGGGGAGACTACGAGTGGAGGAAACGCTCACGGGCGCGTGGATAACGCCAGAGGTCCGGCGCGGTGTGTTATGCCCTTCTGATAAATTCACTCGAATGGAACACACTTCTCTCGTGCGCCCCCTTGAAAAGAAAAAGGGCGGCGCACCCACGGAAAAGATTTCCGGGTCCAATAAAAATTCACACTTCGATCTATCATTAAACAGAATCGATACCCGAGCAGAAATTTTAGTAGGATCCTGGTAGGGATCTAATAAGGAGGCCTTAATGCCTGACGAGGCACTCATATACCCTGATAGGGTCCTGATTGCAAATGTAACATCGAGAATTAGAATTGCCTGATCAGGTTTTCTTATCAAGACCTCATTGATACAATCTTGTTTAGATCACCGAGATAAATCTATGTACATGACTTTCGCAGTTAGTTCGCTTGAAAAGGACCGAAACCCATGGTCGAAACGTAGCGAGTCTTGAACATTAAAATTGCCAGATACGGTCAAACAAATTTGAAGTTGTTAATTTTTTAAACTAATTTTTTAAATTATGTTGTATTATAATTTGTATATAGTCATCAAAAGTATATTCAGGTCACTGAAGTTTATTCATGATTCAGACAACTCGCTGTCGGATCATATCGGCTCGCCTCTGTACTAATATACGGGATGATTTTTATTTACGAGAAAGATTAACGCGCGATCGCCACGTCGGGGCAGTAAGTGGTATTAGTACTATATGTTCAAATATATCTTACGAGGGAATCAGGCGCACCGGATCAAGCACATGTCAGGAATTTCTTATTAGGGCTTTCCTTACTTCTTCCCTATCCAGACCCTGACCATACATAAGGCATGCCTGATTTCATTTCTACTCGGGTATAGCGACAATCATATTAATTATTGAGCAAGAAATATATTGATCTCAAATAAAAAATTTTTTATCTAGAGTAATATCTAGAGTAAAATGTGATGTTGGTGCGTGCGTTGTAACACATTGACGGAAGATTTATTCTAAACGCAAGAATAGGGGAAAGTCTATTATGAGATAGCAGGTTTTCAATCACAATCTTCTTTCGCGGCGATTACACAATCTAACAATAAATTTTCCACTAATTAGATATCACTCCAAGGACAATAAAATTCATGGTGGAACCAACAGACGATGCCTATTAATTTAGCAGAAACCCCGCTGTCTCGTATTTTGGAGCCTGTCTCATAATAGGGGACTTTCCTCTATATATAATCTTAAATTTGTATATGTTACCCTTATTTCAATAGTAAACCAATCTTGTTTAATTCGTGAGAATGGAAATTATTAATTTAATTTTAATAATGTTTAATTTTTGTACTACACGAGTTGTGATAAGTTTAAATTATATACGTGAGGAATACTTTTTGTCCTGTTATCAGAAATACTTTTTGAAAGGGCGGAGACTGACTCGAGAGAAGGCGTTTATGTCGCGTCGAAAAGCAACGTCGGAATGCGCAATCGGAAGTTTGATTTTACAGAATCGTAGCGACGCGAGATACACTACCGGCACTCGGCTCGAACGGGAGGGCTTTTAATTCCCTCCGTTGTGTAAACTCCGTTTTACTCTCGCCAGTTTAATGACCAATATCTGTCGGTGTCCTCGGAACTATAATACGTTTCACGTGGAATTTTAAAACAGACGCGATACAGCGCTTCCGTGATCGTGCGTCGCGTTTCAGCGATGAAAGGGACCTTTTTACCATATAATGTAATTGAAAGTTTGAAAAGTTTCATCAACCCGAGGCGAGCGGAGTTCTCGCCGGTTCATCCGCTCTGCTGGATGGACCGCGATTACACTCGTCGCATCGCAGCCGATGAATTGAACGCCACTTCGCGACACACAGGGGACAATACCTTTTATTCCTTCCCTTCCCCTGTGCTTAGTGCATCCTGTTGAGAAGTTTCTCCCGACTAATGAAATTTCTCCCGGGAGGAAGGATGCGGCCCCTTCGGTCGAGCGATAAACGCCTTTCGACGTTGCTTCGAGTCAATCAGATTGCAGTCTCCTCCAATGGGGAAAGAGCGCGGTCGGATATTGAATGGAAGAAAGTTTTGCAACAAGTTGGAAGGGAAATTGAAGCATCGAGACACGAGCGGTACAAAGGATTTGACGACTTTGAAAACTGGCAATGGCATTGTTCTTATTACGGGCTATAGAAGATGTCTTAAAGTGCCGAAATTCACCAAGTATAACCAGAGAATTGTAAAATTCTTTAAAAAAACAATTATTTTTACGCGTTCTACGTTCACTGGAACTGGAAAAACAATCGCGCGAGTTTAATTCGCAAGAGTAAAAGCGGAAAATCATTTTATTGCAAACCTGTAGAGTGTTAAAAGTCGTAAGTAAGCGAGTCTCCGCTAAAAAGTAAATGATATCCTTGCTGGGGGGGAAAAAAAAGCGGAAACCATTCTCTTTCGAACCGGACGCGGAACGTTTTTATTTTCACTTGGTCTCGCGGTCGAGCGAGATTCCATGCTCTCGGTCGTGTACTTACACGCGAGAGCCGATATCGGTCGAGAAACTTTGCAGGAAGCTGGAGGAGGAAAGACAAGAAGAAGAGCGTGAAGCCGGCGAAGAAAGAGCAGAACGCGAGAGATAGGGCGAGGGATTATTGGAATATACAGGGTGTGATTGTAATACCCGCCTCACCTCTTGTTTTCGGATAGAGCGGATTAGACTGATTGTGAGTCGAAAAGTCCTTTACCATTTTGCAATTTTCGCAATAGTCAACGAGTTATTAGTTATTAAAAATCGCTGTCTTAGCCGAGCCTAATTCAAGCTCGCGATGAGATGCGGCCGTCCCGCGATCGGCGCGTTGCTGGGCGCGCGGAGAATTGTTCACGACACACGGCAAGGGCTACGTATAATAAACAACTCGCAGCGCGCTAAGACAGCGACTTTTAATCATTGGTAACTCGTTAACCGTTGCGAAAATTACAAAATGGTAGAGGACTTTTCGACTTATTGTCAGTCTAGTCCGCTCTGTCCGTAAATAAGAGGTGAGGCGGGTATTACATAACACCCTGTAGATTGGAAGAGTAGTAGGTTTCCCCGCGTCCCAAAGTTGCGGCCGGGAGATTCGGGAAGCGGAAGAGAGGAGGAGAATAGGGAAGAAAGAGGAGCGCCGCCTCGACGTTCCGCAGAGCGCAAAACGAGAGATCGCGGACGTTTATCGTGCAGAGATATGCAACCCGCGTTGGGGTGGCGTTAGCCTTGCCAAGGCTGCTCTTCGCGTAATTCGAGGCGTACAAGCGGGGAATGCGGGTATCCGCGCAGTACTCGATGCCTTACAGTCGGGGAAAGAGTTAAATTACTCCCGCCCTTCTTTCTCTCTTTTCCCCTCTCCCGCAGTCCCGCAGGGATGCTGCGGAGGGGAGGGGAGGGGGGGGGAGAGCGCGATTCGGCCGAGGAATTAATTGCGATTGCGGACGTTTAATAGTCTAACAGCGCGGCGGCTTAATCGCAGCCGCTCGCACGAATGTTTGCCGCTGAATTAATATTCAGCGTGATGCCCGAGCGGGAAATTTATGAGCCGCGCGATTCCGAGCGGAGAGTAGCACGCGGCGCGCTTCAGTAATAGCGCGATGTAGTTACGCGTGAAGGGGAATTTGTCCCTCACAGAGAGAGACGCGGGGAAACGATCGCGAGCTCTTCAATGTGCAGAATTGTAGAATAGGTTTGCGTATCTGTTTACATGTTATTCCCCACTATTTTGCGGCAAGACGCACGAATTTTTACGAGTTTTACAAGTAAATAGCGGTTAATTTATTCACGACACTTAAGCAATACGTGTTCTATTTAAATTAACCGGGCCGTTTCTTTTTCCGCAGCTCACGTGGACAACGAGGTGTACTTAGGAAGGGCGTTAGAGAGACTCGGCGACGCCGCTCTGAAGGAACAGGAGCCGGACATAGGCGCGGCGTTTCTCAAATTCGCTGTGGTCACGAAGGAACTGAGCGCCCTCATGAAGACCCTGGTACGTGCCAAACCCTACTAGCGAAATTTGTGCCAACGTATGCGGATCACGAAACGTTCCGTGCTTACCTACCCGATGATTCCTCGCGATGCACGGAATATTCCGCCCCCTGTCGCTTTTAACCGCGTAGCATTTTACGTGACGACGAATAAATTCTGTAAATTAATTAGAACGTGCTAAAAAGGGCTCCGCTAAGAGAGAGAGGTGTCGAAAGATAGCGGCTCAATGATCGCGTCGTAACAAGATATACTTGGAAAACTTGCAAGTGGAACGTTGGCTGGAGCGCAACGTCCGATGATAAGTTCTTTAAAATCGCAACCGTGCGCTCGATGGCACGCTTCGTCCGACGTGTCTCAACTTTTACAATTCACCGGACGCGGATGTGTTGAAACGGCGTCCGTAAACGCGTCCTCGATGCGGCGTGCACGCGTTATTGGAAAAATCTCTTCACGGTCCATCGTCACCGGCGGCGGCAACGACCTACGTAGACCTGGCGTAGTACGGCTCTTCCGCTAGCGTACGCGCAAGAATAGAATTTCTAAGCCAGCGACGATCAATATGAAACGCGTGCACCGGCGTGCGCGACGAAATAAAATTTCGCGCCCGCTGCGGAGGCTGTCGATCGCGCGGGGCTCTCGCGATTAAGTCGATCGAGAATGAGTCGCGGATCGACGACCGCGTCTCCTCGACCGGGGACACGTGCGTGCCGTCCAGAGAAGCGAATGGTTCCGCTGGAACGATCTTCCATCTCGTCGGACGGCACCTCTTGAATCGCGATTGAATAGTAATAGCGCGTATCGGGTATTTGGGTCACGATGAATACAAGATAAATGTAAATTCGTGCGAAGACAGACTCTCCGACTCCCTACGCTCTTCGTTCGACGCCCAACTAACTTTCAGCCATCGAACGTACGAATCTTTTACGAATTTTACCCCGCGTAACTAAAAATTGCAATTAGCTATTCTATCTATATCCAAGATTTTTAAGTAATACTCGAGGGCTTGGTAACTGGCGGTTATAGTGTACAAAAATTACCCTTGATACGGATTACCCTTAAATTACCTCAGATGACTCAAGTTTACCTAATACTGCCTCAAATTAGTCCAGATAATCCAATAATATTTTATATTACTCAAGATTACCTTAGAATATTTAAAATTACCCCAAATATATTGGATTACCCAAGATTTCCTTTGCGCTGTTTGAATTACCTAGCCCAGT